AAGTTTTAATGTTGAAAAACCCTTTTGATTTGTTCATCTTGATATCAAGATGTATGACAATGAAAAATAAAAAGATTTTAAGTCTCAGAAATAGTGCATTTTACAACATATTATATACACCATCCATTTTCAAGATTTTCATATGTTTATAGATCTACTTGATTTTAACCATTTTTGAAATTTAAAATTGTATAATTAAATATAAAAATAGATTTTGAGATAATCCTAAGAACATTTTACATCAAAATTATAGACCATGATAAAATTTGAAGGTGCACCTTCCTCTACACCTACGGATGCATCCGTATGCAAACTGCACCATTTCTTGATTAGTATGTTTTACCAAGTTACATTAGATTACTATGCCATTAATCTTCAATCTCTACTATTTCGATAAATACACCAAAGCTTTGCATCCAAACACCTTTTAAGTATGAGTGTGAGACTCCTTACTTTCTTTTTTTCTTTTTTTCAATGTCGTACAGCTTAAACATGATTTATTGATTAGCATATTTGACCAAGTTACATTAGACTACTGTGCCATTAATCTTCGATCTCTACTATTTCGGTAAATGCACCAACCTTTGCAACCAAACACCTTTAAGTATGAGTGTGAGACTTCTGCGCTTGTCCATACCCTTTCTGATACATCATCTTCTAAATGATATTAGGAAATTGGTTAATTAAATAGTATGTAATGCTCATGGCCTCAACCAGAAAACATCTAGATGACTTTGTACAAGAAATCATATATATATATATATATATATATTCTCTACAATGGAGCAATTATATTTTTGTTTCTCTCCCAATGGAGCAATTTATTGTCTCTATCACACCATTGTGTTGGGAAATATAAGGTATTGTCTTCGCTTGCCTTATACTATGCATGGGATAATAATTATCAAATGATATTGTATTCTCTCCTGTTATCTATGCAAAGGCCCTTAGAAGCTTACCCTTCTTTCTTTCTATCATGGCATAAAATCTTAAGAAATTTCCAATACTTCATCCTTATTTTTTGTATCATATTCCAGCAATTTTCTTGAGGCAATATCTATGGAAGTAAGAAAATATGAAGCACCACCGTTGGTTTTAATATCCATAATGTGAATATTCTCAGGTTTTTCTAAAGAGACTCAATTTCTATTAATCATATGAATGTACAGACTCATCTTCTATAGACAAATTACATATGAGAAAAAATAAAAATAAATCACATACACCTAAACTATACCTAGACTTACCATAAATACAAGATATTCTACCTATCGTTCTTATATATATTGATTACAATATATGCTAACTTGGAAGGCAATATATATTTTCATTTCACACTCCCCTCAAACTCAAGGTGCCACGAGAGTGAGCAACTGGAGTTTGAACACTAAACAAGCCTTAGAAACATAAGGCTCGAATAGAGCATGCTCAAGCAACAACAGATCAACATGCCTCAGGACCAGATGGCTAAAACAGAGCAAGCTTGAGCAACAAACAAAAATTTCAGATCTTTGCTTGAGACAAAAAATAATCAAGATATCCGAGAAAACATAAATGACATTTGGAAGAGCCAACAGAACTCGGTGCATATTTGAGACAGATTCAACAACTCGCAGACAGACAAACATGATTTTTTTGTGTTTTAATATCATATAAAAGGAAAAAGATTAGTCCATCAGAACTTAATGGTTCATGCCTAAGGGGACATATCTTAGGAGCTGAAGCAAAATTTGATGGTTGAGTTCTTTCTCTATACTAGAAAGGGAGAGAATGCTCTAGTTCATGGCATCATGATAGTAACAGTGGAGTTTTGATCAAAAGAAAAGTTAAGGTAACTGAGCAATACGCTTTTGCTTTTTGCTCTTCCAAGAAATATGGGAATCACCAAGAAAAACACAAAAACCTTTAGTAAACTTCTGATTGGTAGTGGCCCCCTCAAAATTAGAATCAGTATAAGCACGAAGCTCAAGAGTGGAAGATGAAGAGAATAAAAGCGGATGATCTCGAATATAACGAACAATACTTAAACGGCTAGTGTACCGATCAAGGAGCACTCAAGAATTGATTGACTAGATGAACAACATAAGCAATGCCCAGCCGAGAAATAGTAACATAAATCAAGCTTTCAACAAATAGTCTGTAAAATGTAGGATCATGAAGGAGCTCATCATTTGTAGAACGAAGTTTGACAATCAACTCAGTAGGTATATCAACATGCTTTGTATCATTAGATATCTCAACATGATTGACATTTATTTTATAAAATATAAAA